CGCCTTAGCCCGTTGAGCTATAGGCGCCGAGCCTATACAGTTTAATCTTGAAGAAGAAACTGATCAATGTAGAATTTTCAGTGTTGTCCCAAACCTGGGCTTGTTAAGTATTTCTTTGTTTAGAGACTGAGATGCTGACCTTCATTTCTGCAATGTCTTCCTTTCTTTCAAGAGAGAGGATCTCGTTCTGTCACCCAGGCTGGTGTACGGTGGCATGATCATAGCTCACTGTAACCTCACAATCCCGGATTCCACGTTCACCTATTTTTTTTTTGTAAGAATAGAGTCTCACTATGTTGCCCAGGTTTGTTCCAAATCCAGACCTCAACCAATCCTCTAGCCTTGGCCTCCCAAAGTGCTGGGTTTACAGGTGCAATACTTGCACCTAGCCATTTCTGCAATTTCAATGCAAAGCATCAACACGTCTGGAAAATTCTAAAAATTTAAAACAATTTCTATTTTTAAGATCTACACCTGTTGAATGTCTGCCATGTACTAAGAATAAAGCAGAACATGCTTTTCATCAACACACAACATATTCAAAGTTAATGCAAAGATTGATGAGAGACAAAATCTACACTAAAGGTTGCTGGGTAATCTAATCCTTAAATCTTCAGAGCTGAATTGCTAGTGACTGGTAACGGACTAGCCACTAATCCTCTTCCATAGATGTCATTATCTGAGGTGGCCCAGGCATAACAGTCCCAGCTCCTAGAATGACAACAGCATTTTCATACAATAGGGCTATTACTATTTTTCAGCACCTTGGTCACTTCTATTTAGGAAGCAGAGCAGGGACAAGTACCCTACTTTTACAGAATGCAGAGGTGCAGAGACAGAAGGGGCCCTAGTCACGTGAGCCCTTGTCTTGTCCTCTTTCAGGAAGGAAAGTCTGTGACAGGCACAAGGTTTGTCTGAGAGAAGACCACACTCCCTGGACACATCCCAGGAACTATGGCACAAGAATGCTTCCATCAGAATATAATAATGAACTCACTTTAGGAGTACTACAGGGTCTATTTCCTTATTGGAGAAAAACTAGCTGCTCTCCTTTGCTGGTACTGTTTGCCCATTGTACACTCCAAACCTTATGTACCCTGTTCACCTTACTCCCTGAGTCCAGAAGCAAACTTCTGTCTTAAATAAAATTCTACCTTATCATGACTTCCAAACCCATTGCATTTTAGTTATTCATTCAACAAACACTTACTGAGCATGGACTATACCTGAGGTGACAGTGTGCACATCTTACATCTGGGCCCTGAAGATACATCAGCAGCAGCATGTCACAAGATTCCTCATGCTAGTGTCAGGTAGGTGGTCAAGGAACAATTACAAGAAATCTGGTACCAAAGGCTTGAGTTCAAGTTCCAGGTCTGACAATTATTAACAGTGAGATGCTGAGCAAGGTAGTGGTATCCAGGGTAGTTCTACTACTGGGCCCAGCAATGTCACTCCTCTGCAAGCAAGTAGGACTCCACAGCACAGAATAACTGAGCAATGTGCAGCCTGTCTTTCTTCTCTGAACTATGTTTGTTTTCTTTTCTTTCTTTTTTTTTATTTTTTTTTTTATTTTGAGACATAGTCTCAACTCTGTCACCCTGGGTAGAGTGCCATGGCATCACAGCCCACAGCAACCTCAAACTCTTGAGCTCAAGTAATCCTTCTGCCTCAGCCTCCCAAGCAGGTGGGATTACAGGCACCCACCATAACACGCAGATAGTTTTTTTCCTTATTTTTAGTAGAGACAGAGTTTCACTTTGCTCAGACTGGTCTCAAACTCCTGAGCTCAAGCAATCCACCTGCCTGGGCCTCCCAGAGTACTTGGATTATAGGCATGAACCACTTGTGCCCATGTTAAAAGAATCACTCTAGGCTTGGCACATGTAGCTCAGCAGCTAGGTCACCAGCCACATACACCAGAGCTGGCAGATTCAAATCCATCCTTGGCCTGCCAAACAACAATGACAACTGCAACCAAAAAATAGCCAGGCATTGTGGCAGGCACTTGTAGTCCCAGCTACTTTGGAGGCTGAGGCAAATTTGAGGTTGCTGTGAGCTGTGATGCCATGGCCTTCTACTGAGGGTGACATAGTTGAGACTCTGCCTCAAAAAAAAAAAAAAAAAAAAAGAGAGAGATAGAATGTGCCCCACCTGCCCTAATTCACTACCACATGTCATAACAGAGTAAAAGGTCCAGAACATAGACTTTTTCCTGATGATCAAAGACAAAATTTCTAAAGGCTTTTTTTAATTCTCTTTGTTGCCCTTGGTAGAATGCTGTAGCATCACAGCTCACAGCAACCTCCACCCCTTGAGCTTAAGCGATTCTCTTGCCTCAGTCTCCCAAGTAGCTGGGACTATAGGAGCCCGCCACAATGCTCAGCTATTTTTTGTTGCAGTTTGGCCAAGACCAGTTTTGAACCGCCACCCTCAGTATATGGGGTTGGTGCCCTACCCACTGAGCCACAGGTGCAGCCCACACCTGGTTTTTTGTTGTAGCTGTCATTGTTGTTTAGCAGGCCAGGCCTGGGTTTGAACACACCAGCCCAGTTGTATGTGGCCAGTGCCCTAACCACTGAGCTACAGGCACCGAGCCTCTAAAGCAACCTTCCTAATGCCATGATGTTATTTTCATTGTTGAGAACCACTGCTTTAAAGGCATTCTTACCAGTGGCACATCTGACTTTCAATAACTTTCAAATTTTGAAATAATTACAATTCAAAGTTGCGAAAAGATTTACAAGAAGGCCTCAAGCACCCTCCCATCCACCTGTACCTGGTGGTCTTTCCTAAGTGAGGGAAAGATGGTTGGTAACTCAGACCCATTACTGGTCCCACAACTCCCAGGAACTATGCTCTTCTATACAATCAGTATACACACTTCCAGGTGACAAACACAGGTGACATGGCCATCAGGTGACATGGCCACAGGTGACATGGCCATCAAACTGCACAGCTGTGGCTAAAGCTCCTCACTTTCATTCACCTAACAAGTATTTACTGGGCACGTACCATGTGCCAGCACTGTTCTCTGCACAAAACAGTCTCCCCATGGATCTTATCTCACAATAAAATATTAAGTATCATAAATGTATTAAATAGGACATTAGGAGGATTCAGAACTGTGGGAAAATTAAGCTGGGAACACAGATAGGAAAACAAAGAGGTGGAGAGTTGAAGTCAGAATGCAGGGTGCTCAGGAAGAACTGAGCCTTTCAGGCAGACCAGAGGGCAGAGTACTCATTTATCCTGGGACTAGAAAGGAGCTGCTGCACAGGTACACAGTGATGGGGATCAGGATCACTGGGTGGGGGGGTGGGGGGACTGAGACCCTGCAGGTAACCCTTCTCCACCAAGGGTTTCCAGCCAAAGGCCACATAGCCAGCACAGGTAACTATAGCCCTTCACTTGGCCAGAAGCCACCAAGAATCCCCACTCCATCCCATCCTGTCCCATAACACTGACACAGCAAAAGGAGAACCAGGAACAATAGGTCAGAAACTTCCCTAAAACCCTTAAGTTGAGACTTCTAACTCCATCTTGTTTGACATATTACTTATTCCTGAAACTCAGCAAGATGTTTTTTAAAAAGAGAGAAGCAAATAAATGAATATAAAATCTTAGAAACTATAGGGATAGTTTTACCTACAGGCAACCCTGAAAACAGATGGAGCAAAATAACTGTTCTTTCATTAAAATAGGCTTTTCTGAACAAGGTCTAGCAATTCAAACACACCAATAAGGCTATGACTAGTTGGTTACAACGATCAATCCAAATCTTCCCCACCAGGCCTAACCCTGAAAACAAAACTAAAGCTGCAATTCTTGCTTCCTTTTCCTGCATGACACAACTGAACGAATTCTGAGAAATCATTTCTTAGGGACATGAAAAAGGGAGTCCTTAATCCGGCCGCTTAGCACTAAGTTAGAACCTGAGCAGATGAGCACCCTGAGAGTACACTGTGAAACATTTCTCAAAATAATGTTTTTAAAAGAAAACGAAGTTTCTTCTAGTAAACAAATCAAATGCTTTTAGAAGTAACAACACTGAAGCGATTCATCTGAGAGACGTAGGGAACAATTTCCAATTCTCCAAGCTGCAAAGGCACGACGACCCGGGGCTCAAACCCGCGGTCCCGACCTCCTTGGGAGGTTCCGACTTCGCGGAACCAAGAGCTCCGCGAGTCCCAGAGGTGGGCCGGGCCGCGTAGCCCAGGCCGCGCCCGCGAGCCAGGGAGGGACTGTCGCCCCACGGAGAGCTGGCCGCTAGGCCACCGCGGCCACCAGGTGCGCTCACTTCGCCCGGCCCCGTCGCGCGCCGCCAGGCCCCGGCCCCTCCTCTGGCCTCGTCGCGCGGGCCCAGCTGCAGCCACAGCGCCGCCGCAGCAGCTCGTGTCCGGGGCTCGGCCCGAGGGTCGCCGCCATTTCCGGCTTCGCGCGCCACCCCGCGCCCCCACCCGCGGCCCCCGCGCCGCCCTCAAGCCTGACGCGCGCCCGCCCGCAGCGAGCTCACCTGCCCGACCGGCCGCCCGCCCGCCCGCCTGCCGGCTCCGCGGCTCCGTTCCCCGCTCCGCGGCGCTGCTGGGCAGCGGCCGACCGGGTCCTCAGCCTGAGCTCCCGGGGCGGCAGCGGTGGCTGCGGCGGCAGAAGGCGCGGGAGCAGCACCGGCAGCGGCGGCGGGGACGCGCACGCTCACGCACGCTCACGCACGCACCGCACCGGCGCGCGGGGCCCCCCCGGAAGGACGTGGGCTCCTATGGGTCGGAGTCGCAGGCGAGACTGGCCGCGCGTGCGTCCAGAGAGACGTGTGGAGGCCCCGCCCGTGAGAGGGCGGAGCCCGAGTGACAGCCGGGGCGAGGCTAAGGGGCGCCTTGCGGAGGCACCACCCATGAAGGGGAGGAGCCCAAAGTGACGTCAGGATAGAGACTCCCCTCCCCCAGGCGGAGCCAAGATGAAGGCTAGGGGCCGGAAACTCCAGGAGCGGTGGGCGGAGCTCGCAGCGGCGGAGCCAGAAGTTCCTGGTGGTTGGCCTGAGGCCAGTCTTTGAGGCCGGACCCCGGGCAGTTTCGACGTCTACTGTGAGCCGGTAGGTGGGCCGCGAGGAAGGACAAGCTTGGGGCTTGACCTGCATTGAACTTCCTCAGCGTTTTACATAAGACTGAGGAAAAGTACTCGTTCCTATCGAAGACCAGTCTGAGCGCGCAGGTGGGAGGTGGGGGGATCGAGGCCCGTGCCCCGCCACGGTCGTGGGGCTGCTACTTGCTCAGTCAAGGGCATCCACACGGCACTTCCCTCCACGCGGTTGCTCCCCTCCAGAGTCACGCGGTCGGTAGAGGGCCGGGCAGGGCAGGGTGGGGATCGGCTCGCCTCCCCTCCGCGGGCCTGTCCCGTTCACCGCGCCCTTCTATCCTGTCTGGATTGCAGATTCCAGATTACTGTTAATGTAAATCAGAACCGTAGGCCGATTCATATAGTATTGTTTTTCCCTTGAGGGGCCAACTTGGGTTGTCCTGCCGACTCCCTTCCCTGTGGTCTAGAAGCCATGGGTCTGGAGGTAATGGTGGGTCTCCCCTCACTGCCAACAGAGATGAGACTTCTTTTCCTAAGTCTCCATTAAATGTTTCTTTTCTTTCTGAGAAATTGGTTATGTCAGCCTTTCTCTGGTCTCTAAACTTCCTCAGCCTTTGGGAGTAGGCGCAGAACACGGCTCACCAGCCGGCCATTTATTGGGGGCCTGCGCTGCTGCTGCCTGTGCAGGTGTGTGCCGCTCTTAACCCTGGACGCCACCCAAACAGACCTCTGCAGCCAGTGCTCCTGCCTCTTCTCTTCAACTGTTGCCGTTGACTATTTTTCATTTATTGGAGACACCTTTTTAAAACAATCCAAATGACATCCAGGGCTTGGAACACTGAGTGAAATAGAAACTTTTTTCCAACAGGCTGTGGCCCCCACCTTCGTCTGCCCTGGTGTTGTACTCCACTGTCATCATGCCAGTCTTGAAGTGCCTATAAGTGACTGAGAGCCTCCTTGGGAGGCTCAGTGAAGTGTGCAGCATCAAAGAGGCAGAAAGAAAAGACCTTTGAAACCAGGAAGCAGAAAGGCCAGGCTGACTACTATGTCTCTTGATTCAAGAGAAGGAAAAATTTCAGGACTGAATTGAAGGAATGGCAGAACAAAATGGACCCAGTACCAATTTTGGATTGAAGCTGTGTTCAGCTTGTGTCTACAAGTGGCCAGAAGGAATGAATCAAGTCTTAAGTGAGTCTCTGAGCCTAGTAGTTCCACTTCAGGGATATTCTTCCTAAGAATATGTTCACAAGGCTCGGCGCCTATAGCTCAACCGGCTAAGGCGCCAGCCACATACACCTAAGGTGGCGGGTTCGAATCCCCAGCCCCCCCCCCCCAAAAAAAAATTGAGTTAATTTTTGTGTGTGGTGTGAGGTAGGAGCCAGTGAGAGAGAAGATAGCACAGTGATCATAATGGCCTGGGGCCAGTGGGTGGGGGATGCCA